TATAAGCTGTGGCTGTGGAATACTTTAAAAAACTTGCAACTGCTTAGCAAAACACTGGCCATGGCCCATGCCCTCTGAAGAGATTGCAGTGCCTGTATGTGCCCTGTGGAATCTTGTGTCATTAACCTACTGGAAATAGGCGGCTCCTCATTTCAGCGCTTGGATCTTGTTTCAGGAAGTCAAAATACCATCCAAGAAGTGACAGTGCGAGTGCCATAATCCTTTCTAAGCACGTTGGTAGATGTGTTGGGAAAGTGGAAACCCTTCTGATATTCTTCAGGACTTCCACTGGGTACGGTTGAATGTTGTATCTGAAAAATACAGCTGTCCTCCTGCTTGTACTTGCATCTCTCTTTTGGTCTAAGCTTCCCTTTCTTTCCCTGCTAGGGATTGTGATAACTATGTTACAAACGGAAGGAGTCTGGTCGCTTAGTTGGAATCTAGGAGCAGAAACTACTTCCTCTGACTCCAAATTTTTATCATAAGTTAGGTGGCCCATGTCACTGCAAAAGTTCTTGTCTTCATCTTGCTATCTTATTGCTTAAGGTCCTACATATCCTTTGAATAACAAAGAGGGCTTCACCACATTTGATTTTGTTTTCAGATTTTCGTATTTTAAAATTGAAAGCACAATCACGATCAGTTTTGAACCCGAGGGAACACAGAATAATGATATTGCTTCCAAGTCTGTTATCAAGCATGGGACTGCTAGGTGGCAATTAGCTTGCAAGGTGAGTGTTTCTCTTTTCAAATGGCTCTACTTGCACGGGAGAAAAAAAAAGCATAAAGATCAATTGGCTCTCTCAGGACAAGGGTCTCTCGAGCACTTTCATCCTCTTTCATGTATTAGTTGAGGCTTATCTTAGAATACAAAGAGTAATTATGTATCCATAAACTAAACGCAGGTAAGCATCTTCATGATGGAAGTAATGCCAAAGTACCTCATTACATGATTTATGAGGTACTGTGCTTCCATTTTAAAAATGCATGCAAAACTCATGTCGTGGTCATTGCCAGTTCATAGATACAGACTCTAGAATAAGCTTTTCAGGGTGATATGCTCGTGCAATATGAAAGGAAGCAGGTGTTTTTAGATTTGATTCAGAATACTGTGTATACATCTTCTTGTCAGTGAAAGTTATTGAGCTCTCTCACTAAGTTTTCCATGGAAGTGTTGCATTTAATACATTTTTCCTTTGGATGCAAACAATATGTTGGATTTGGAGTCAATCTGTAACTATAACTTTTTCAAGAATCTAGAATTTCTATCTCTAATTAAGATGCTATATTGCATAATTGATTCTGTAATCTACACTTGCATTGAAAACTAGCCCTTAGAATTGCTCAGATAGCTTGTAACATTCGTCATTGGTTTATATCATGTCATTTTTCTGAGTCTGCAGATGTGAAAGTTTTGTGCGTTTGTAGCTGAAGGTTTTTAGTCCATGGAAGCCTTCATAAATGCAGGCTTAGGAAAATTTCAACATGTTCTGCTATTGGGAGATTATGCATTCTCATAGAGCTAGGTATGAAATGCACAGATAAGAAGGCTAGATGAACAGGCAATTTTTGCTTGAAACTGAGAGGTTTTTAAGCAGTCAGCAACTTCATGTGAGAAACAACACTCTGATCTTGCACCTTGTTTCAAGAGAAGGGTCAAATGCATTAGCGTAATTTGCTTTAAATGTTAACATCTAGGTGAAGTAACTGCACGTCTATATTTGTGCACTTCTCCTCCCTCCATGTTTTCTTACTGTCCTAGTACGATGAATTTTACTTAAAATGTTAATATGAAATAGCGCTTTTGTCAAGAAAGTGCTAAACTTGGGAATGTCAAAGCCAAAGATGTCTCCTTATAAATATAGCAGTAATTGTTGCTGCAAAGTGTTGCAGAGTTTGATAAATCTGGGATATAGCAAGTGATCATAGTGAACAGCATTAAGGAATCATCTTGCAGCATTATTTTGTTCTCAAAAAAGCAGTTCACAGTGTGAAAAAATCAAGGCTAAGCATGAGCAGATAGATCGGTGTCCCCCAGAGTGCCCCGAGATGAATGCCGTCATGTACAGGGCATCTTGGTTGTGATTGCTGGAATCCCCAGAAAGGCTCAATGTACAGCACAAGGCCATACTTTGGTGGTCAGGACTTGTAATCCTCCAGCATACCTTGGGTGAGTTTAGTTTGAAGATTCCCTTAAACCTTGGCCCAAAGGAAGAGACAGTTCTAGCCAAGGACTCTGCCACACTCTGATCCTGTGCCAGGTGATAGGTTCTGTAATGCTACTACTGGAAGTACGATACGACTAACACAGTGTGAAAAGTGCCGGGAGAGCGAAGCGTTGTGTGTGCAACAGCTACGTGCAATATCCTGCTGTTAGCAGGTCTGCCCCATCTGGCCCAGAGGGAAACATCTGGAAGGGCCGGGAGCAGAGCGCTGGGAAGTGCGTAAGCGGGATCGGAGCGAGGTGTTGGCGCGTGGTCGTCTGAGCGCGGGTGCACTCAGCCCGTTGCTGCCGCCCTCTCAATTCCCAAAGCCGGCGCTGACGCGCTGCGTGGTCCGCAGGATTCTCCGTGTCTGCACGTGCTTTCTCTCGCCTTCCTGAGGGGAGAAAGGTGAGCGCCCTTGTTCTTGAAGCCAAAACGAGATGCTATAGTTAAGCTTCAACGTTTTTCTTAAGGTTCCTTCGGTCAGAAGGCTGTTCCTTGTTCTCACTTATAGCTCTTCGCACAGTGAAAAATTAATTTACTTATAGTATTTCTAATATTTTCTGCTCTAAAGGCATGCTCAGTTGCCTCTGCAGGCTTTCAATTTGCAGCAAAAGAAAATCAATCCCTTTTTAAAAGAGTCAGTTTATACATTTATATCCATCCAAAAGCATATTAGAAGGGAAGATTAAGTTTTGCTGTCTTAAATGTTGAAAGTAAAAATGTTCTTTTGTGTTTCAATTTTAAGTGATAATTCATTCTTGTAAAGTCGTTTTATTAAAGACTTAATGTGCTGCTGCCAAAGCAGGAAACAGTTGTTCACGTCCCTCTGAAGTCAGTTATGAAGCTTTGCTGGTTTGAAACACGAGGGGAATGTCAATATGTACTCTTCTTGCCCACTTCATTTGTTTAACTAATCTCTTAATGCTGTAAAAGCAAACATGAGCCATCCTTTGGAGGGCTCTGTGAATTTGAGTCAAGATTTAAAAATTTGAAACTAATCGCTGTTAGTAAATACGTTATCTTGTTTCCTTTTTCATTGTTAAGGGATAACACTATTGACTGGGGTTTCGGTGCATTTTCAGTCATGTCCATAACTGCCTGGATTATGTGTTTGTTGTGGTACACACAACTCCTGCTTTTTTCCTCGCACAGTGCTGCAGGCTGGGCACTGAACACATTAGCAATAAACCTTGCTCCACCAAGATAAGAGGCTAATTTTACAGGTACAGCATTTCAGAGATGATTGTAGTTGACAGCTCAGAACTGGAGAATTAATTAATATTTGGAAATCTAGTCAAATGGGAATATTTGCAGGCTTATTAGAAACAAATGTCACATTGCTGTTTGATACAAGGATTTCTAGGTCACAGTGACCGATGTTTGTGTGAATTTCCTTATATAAACATGACTAATTGCTTTTGAAAGCTGAGTTTTATCAGTTAATGTATCTCATACAACTGCTTATTGACCATAAAAGAGAGCTTTCTTGAAAACATTGTGTACTATCTATATATGTGGGGTTTTTCTTGTCTGGTGCTGGGATGGTCCGTCGACATCTGGGCCTGAATTTCAGTTCTTTTTGTTTTTTTATAGTGTAGACAAATCTGCCTGTGACCCTTGTGTAGATGTACTGCAAGTATTAGACTTGTCCTACTGATCAAACAAATAGGAACCTGATGGGTCTTATTACAGTCTTGAGCACTATGAGCTTTATTCTGATGAAATTGGCTCAAGGTAAAGGAGTTATATTTTGGGGGTGTTAGATGTATAAAAGAATTTAATGTAGATTTTAATTTTGTATCAGAAGTGATGCTTATTACTGTTGATTACGTATAAATGGATACTTTCAGAAATAGACAAAAAAATACACAGACTCTTAGCTTTGTGTGCTAACTTTATGTAAAAGTCTTTGATGTTGGGTTTGCTTATCTAATCTGCTGTTTTGGTATTTCATTTAGTCATGGGACTTGGTACTTAGATTAACATAATCCTTTACTAATGTTTTCACTAATGAATTTCTCATTAACTAAATGTCCATTGGAGTATCTGTTAGGAATTATTTTGCCATTTGGGGTAATGTACTCTGCACTTTTTCTCACAGCAGTCTGATACCCGATTTAAAGAGTGGCGAGACTTTGTAGGAGGTAGATTTTGCCATTTAAAGTAGGGAAAATCGATTATTTGCCAGGAAAGGGAAAGAGTAATGACTTGGTGGCAATGAATACGTGCTTTTTAGGGGTAAATCGGGAGTGTGGAAGACTGAAATGAAGGTGTGCGTGGGAGGCCTCCAAGGAGCGTTGTGCTGCAGGGAGCCTTCCCTGCCTTAGGAGAGGGAACGGCTACGTAGATTCTGGCTTTTATTAAAAGAAGCGAATGTAGCAAGGCCTGTGTGAACCATTAGACTGATTCCATTTCATATGTTTGCATTATTTCATCTTTCACTGTTGTGTGGTGCAGAGCAGCCGCAGATGCACCACGTATCCCCTTTCAGAATGAGAGCCTTGCGCTAATTTTTTCCTTGTTCCTAATTCTGCTTACATGGTGTTTTCGACATAATAAATAATTGACTAACAGATTACATTTGAAAACTAGTTTTAAAAGGGAATTAGAAAATGAATGCGATGTTCATCACCATTGTGTTTATATACCAAATGAGATGTTGATGTTTAATTACTTTCTAGATCTTAGAAAACAAAAGCATTGGGGTATGCCTGGAATTTAGACGGTTCTGCGTATTTTTTAACTGCCCCTTTTTTCTCTCTCTCTCTCTCTCTCTCTCTCTCTCTAGGTTTAACTATAGATCAACACATCATCTTGCATCCCATGGGTTTTATGAATTTTTAAATTGGTTTGATGAAAGAGCATGGTATCCACTGGGAAGAATAGTAGGTGGAACTGTAAGTATTATAATTACTTAAAGATGACTTTGCAGTAATTTTATTGAAGTTCAAATACAACTTTGACATGGGTAAAAGGAGAATCTGAATGGAATAAGCTTTTATTGTCAATTGCTGCAGAGGGAATAGCAATGTTTTTTAATTTCTAGCTGCAGAACTAAGTCAACATGTTTTAGTCTCCATCCAACACCATACTGTGAACAAGAAGCGTGAAACTGAGTGATACCTTCTTACGTATCAACTTCTAACAGTAGTAAATAGAGATGTTGTGACTCCTGTAATTCCAGTTTTCTTTTGTGCAGAAAATATCAGTACACAATGATGCCTTAAGAGATCTAGACAGCTATTTTTCAAATGGTCCCTTTTGCCTCTTTTTTTTTTTTTCATTTGCATACAAGTTTAGATCTCATAGTATATTCTGAGTAGATGTCCTTTCCATGTATGGAAAATGTTAGAGTTTCACTGAGGGAAAAGCTTTTTGAAATTAAATCAGTGGGAGAGATTGGTGTGTGTTATACAACAGGAAAGGTGTAAGAAACAACATTATCAAATTAGAAAACAAATTTAATTAATAGAATAGTCTTAGTAACATTAAGTGACACAGTTACATTTGACATATAACGTGTACTAAAACTTATATTAATTATAGGAAATATGATTAAAATGCATTTGCAAAGCCTTTTGTAGCGATTAGATAACCATTTGTTCTAGTATCTTAGAGGAACCTGTAAGACCCTTTTTATGTAACATTTTCCATACCTGTCTTATCCGAAGTAAAAATCTTAGAAAATAAAATGAAAGTTGTGATTACATACCTTATTTTGGAAAGCTTATGGCATATTAAATTTTTGTAGTTTATCTTGAAAATCAGCTGTCAAGGATCTGTGCAGAGGAAAATCCCATTATCTGTGTCAACTTAATTTAATACAAAAGCTGCTTTAATTCTAGAGCAAAACAAAAAGCAGCTGAAGTCCATATTTTTTCTACTACATTTTTTTTTTCCTGAAGGACATCATAGTTTAGTTTTGTAAGACTTTATTTTATTACTTCAGATCCAAAGATGTCTACAAACATCTTGCACAAACAGACATATACACTCAGCTCTCCAGCTCTGTGTCAGCTCTTTAGCTCATATAAAGCTCATTGATATACGTTTTCTTCCTCTAAGGACAAGGAGAAATAGAAGAGCCACATAGAGCTGCCTTGAAATTCTCTTGCAAACTTCTAATTACATACCTTAACCATAAATTCATCTCATATGACAAATGTCAGGCAAGACAGGATATTATTTTTGTGCAGCTTATTCATTTAGGAAAAGGATTGTTACCCAAATTGCAGTTGCATAAATTTTTAAGAACTTCTGGTGTTCCAGGTTGTTGTCAAAATATATTTCAGACAATACTAAAATACCTTCATTAACTTTATCTATACTATATTATATATATATTATATATATATATACACACTATACTATACTATAGATACTACTATATCTCACTGCAAATTATGTGCAAATAATCCTATCCCTGCTCTAATTTGGGTGTGTCTGTTCTCCTTTCAGGTATACCCAGGACTGATGGTGACAGCAGGCCTTATACATTGGATTTTAAATATGCTTAACGTGACGGTCCATATAAGAGACGTATGTGTATTCCTAGCACCAGTTTTTAGCGGCCTTACAGCTATTTCTACTTTCCTGCTCACCAGAGAACTGTGGAACCAGGGAGCAGGGCTTTTAGCTGCCTGTTTTATCGCCATAGTTCCAGGTTACATATCTCGATCGGTAGCAGGATCATTTGACAATGAAGGCATAGCTATTTTTGCACTGCAGTTCACATACTATTTATGGGTAAGTATTTGCTAAGTCCTCTGCTTTGGGAGGGTTTTTGGTTCTTCTTCCAACAAATGACTGATTTTTCTTAGGATCCAAACTGAATCCTTACATTTTCTTCCTCCCTCTCATCTCTCTTCCCCTTGGCATGGGATCAGGCAAGTACTAATAAGTCACATGATTCAAAACATGTCATAATAATGCTCTTTAGTTTGTTATATAAAGCTATTATTCAACTGTGAGGTATCCTCTAATAGTAAGGGATCTATAAATTTAAAACAAGTGGGCTGTTGTCTTTGTTTTCGAGTTTGAAGATATTCATGTTATCTGAATATCAAAATTTACTATTCCTTTCTAGCTGCTGGAAAGAACACAGTCTGAACATAACGTGCTTTGAATTGCCTACTGGGGGAGTATTGAATATATGGAGGGGTCTAAGCTTTGAGGCATTCGGCCTAAACACCCACAACTGTCCACAGAGCATGCCTTAAAAAATAGTCTAATGTATTTTAATTGGTCTATTTGCTAGCTTTACTTGACTGTTATAAGGCAGTTCCATATTGTAGAATCTTCATAGTTGGAAAACACCTTCGAAATCTGAAGGGATATAATAAGACAGAGTGTTTTTTTTTTTTTTCCTGTATTGTTACTTCTAATATGGAAATATCACAAATAGCATAGGCAGAAAGTTAATTCAGTACATGCACAGCATGGTGTTGTCTCGTGTACCTGCCTTGAATTTATGTACTTCTCATTTTAGGTATCTGGTGAATTTTATATATATATGTGTGTGTGCGTGTGTGTGTAGATATGTATACATGTAGACACATATGTATATCTATCTTTATATGTATATACACATATATATATATCTATCTATACACACACATGGTCAGTGCGCCTTCCCCATGATTTTTTGAAGAATTCTATTTTTCATAAGCAGATATGTACTCTAAAGCTTTCCAGCTTGAGAATATTTCAAACTTGGGATATTACTGACAGGCTTAGAGGAGAAGGGAATTCAAGTTTTTCATGTTTGAGTAGCAATGTTACTGAAGTGCAGGCTTTGAAAAAAGTCCTCTTATTAGGGTTTTGGGGTTTTGTTTGTTTGTTTTAATCTTTAATCTTAACTGCAGTTCCAGATTCATGCTGTGTGTTATAACAATAATAGAATCAGATGATGTTGTTATTTGATAGCACTTATCTCTTCTTATGAACTCAATTAACTAGACTGCATAGTGCAATCATGTTTGCATAAAGTTTCCTAGGATTATGCATGGATTAGATGTATTTCACAGGTAGCTTTATAGATTCATTTCAAGTCAGTTTTTCATTCCTATTTTCCCGCACATTTGCCACTGTCAAGTTTTGAGCAAAATTGTTTTGGGCCCAGTTTATGGATCCCACCAAACAGCATAGTTATATATGGATGCTGTAATTTGCCTTAAGTGAATTTTCCAAAATTATAGAAGATCTCTTACCTCTATAATAGCAGAGTTGGAACTGATGCTGGTCAAAGGAAACCGTGCATAGCCCACACTTAAAATTATAATGTGATGTAGTACGTTGGACAAAGCAGCACCGAGGTGTTGCAGCTGCTTTTCTGCCTGAGATGATGAAGCAGTTACATTGCATCCTGCCTGCCCATTAACTAGAGATGAGTATAAGCGACACGTCATATGTCAACTGAATTGCACTTACAGTTTGGTTTTATAGACATGAGAAGCATACGAGTAGAATTTGATAAGTACTTAAGAAGTTCTTTTGACAGCTGTAAATATTCTTTAGTAAAATTTAGCTCTTCTGTCTTGGAGTGAAATACTGCAGTGCTGCCCCGTATTCATATGTCATTCATAAATACCCAATTATTTTTAAAGGTCAAGTCAGTGAAAACTGGGTCAGTCTTCTGGACAATCTGCTGCTGTCTATCCTACTTTTACATGGTAAGCTTTATATATATCTATACATATTATAGCTAAGCTATATGAGCAAGACCGGCCTAATTCATACTTTGCTGAAGCACAGCAGAATGAGATATTAGTCTTTCAAGGCAATAATGCAAATTTGTTTGTTCGTTTTATTATCAGATACTTAAATATGAGTAAGAAGACATGAAGACTTTAAAATATAAAATATTTCAATTCAAGTGTACATAAGAGCAAACTTTTAAAAACAACACTCTTGCTATACTTGAAAATTTATCTTCTATTATGAACAGAAACTTATTAAATAGAATTTGTTTGATCTGGGTAAATTTAAGTGGCATTTTGATTAATATTCTTGTGTGTATATTATTACTGAAACAGGATAATAATATTTTTATATACACAGCTATATTTTTATAACTGAAAGCTACTACCTTGGGTATAGTTAAGCAATAGAATAAATCAGAACTAATGAATGAATTAATGACATATGCTATGCAGGAAGTCATTAAGTTATCATAAAGACCTGTTTCCTTTTTGATCTATTAAAATGGAGGCTGTAGCAGAGAGAGCTTACAGATACAAAACTAGTAACAAAACTGGGGAGATACTGCAAGTAGTAGAAATGGGGAGGCCGTTTTCTTTTTTCCCTCTCCTATCTTCCGAAACCTTAGGCTTGAAGAATTTTCCAATCTGATTGAAACAAAGACCTTTACTTCCCCTAATTCATTAACTTTTTTTTTTTTTTTTTTGTGGAAAATACATTTCAGAGGAAAAATAGCCTCAAAATGACTAATGGAGCAAGAGTCAGGGTAGTTGCTTGGTATTAAGATCAAGGTATCAAATTTTCCTTTACTACAGGTAGGTAAGTAGACTTGAAAGAAAAGAACTTAAGAGTCATTTTGAATGATTTATTTTAAAATACAAGGCTGATTCAGAGGTTGTCTGGATGCTGTCTAGATTTTTTTTTAACATTTACATTCAGTGTCTGGTTGTATTTTTGTTTTTCTTTTGTTCCAACAACAAATATTAGCACTCTGTGCAAATCACAGAAGAGAGCATCTATCTCCTATTAAGCGTACATTTGATCCCTTCATTCTCCTCCTTTCCTTCTGCTAAGTCATTAAATAAACAGCCACTTCACTACAGCATTGCCACTCATGTTATGTTACAGTATAGAGCTCCTGTATGTGTGATGCAGATTTCTGTGCAGTACAAAAATTAGGCAAGGTTTGAGCACACATATGTTTATATATATGCCATGTATAAGTTGGTATCATTTATGTTAGGCAGATTTGATGCGGTCCTCTGAAAGGGGATGTTCATAAATACATGGATAGCAAATAAAATAATTTTAAAAATTTAATGCTGAAAAGTCACTGGAGAACAAATTCTCCCATTTTAGCCTGGCTTAGCGTCTAGGTCTTTGGAATTGTATGGGAGGAAAGGGATGCCACCTGGAATGTGCATGGTGACAGAAGTGACAAAATCGTCATAATCATTAAATTATTGAATGCAATTTAATGTTGTTTATTTTCAGTTTGTTTTTAACTAGTCAAACGTGAAAATTTCTCCACAGCTTAGTATGGGTGATTGGATACTAGAAGTTTATTCTTTACGAAGTGTACCCACTTCTAACCGGGGTGGTGCTTTGCCAGGTAATGTGTTTCCTTCTGTGGTAGAATTTAGCTCAGGTGAATCTGTAGCACAGAGCGTAATTGTACTCTCCATTATGTAGCACCCATTTGTTTTCCTCTGATGGAATCAATGCATCTTTGCATTACCAGTTGAGAATTCAATACCTCTCAGTTCTGGGGTGGTAAGAGTCATTCCTCACAGGGAAAAATAGGGAAGCAACTCTTCGAAAGAGGAATATATATGGCATGGACTGACAAAAATCTTTGTTGATATCAAAACCTGCCTGAAATGTGTCTGACTCACTGCTGTGGTAATTTGACTTGTAACATTGCATCCACAAGGAAAAGAGTATTTTTGTGTCTGTGTTTTTTAGCATATATTTAACTTGTCAATTTGCCTTGGGATAATTTTTTATGAGAACAGTTGAAAATAAACACAAAGCCTTACACTGGGGCGGTCCTTATAGGACTAATAGCATGTTTCCACTGCTGTCTTCCTCCCCATCTTTGAGGAAGCCTCTACTCTGTTTGAAAGGTTTAGAAATGAATCTTCAATTCTTTTGAGTGTGTAGATTTGGTTTAATCTTTGGATAGATAGAGAACAGTTGTTAATTAAAATGCAGGTCAGCTACCTGCATCACTCAAACTTCTCCGTAAATATGACAGTGTCCTAATTACACTTTTGTTCTCATTCTGTTCGGTCTTATTTATCTTTATACAGCATTTTGTCTTGATAAATAAAAATGCTTGTGTATACCATGCTATTTTATTCTAGTGATTTGGCATTAGAATCATGATAATGTAAAATGATTTTCTGTAGAGTATGGTAATAATCTTCTCTGCCTATTCCACATTGTTTCAGTTTACTCCAGGTTTTTAAGCATTGGATTTTTTATAGTATCAGCACCAAAACCCAGTGCGCTGCTTTGTCCTTATTTTTCAGACTTGTTTTAAAGACCATAAAGTCATTTAGGCTTCATTGTGAATGCTAGGGTTTTAAAAATATATGCATGAATCTAAGCCTTAAGTATGATTAAAATAAACACGTTTGCTAGTGCATTCTAAAAATGAAGAACCAGAGTAGGCATGGCACATATGGGAGAAGTCTAGACTTAAATTTAACAAGTGAATATGTGTTAAAATATAGACTGCCTTATCAACATTGGCCCTTCTAAATGCATTAGAAATTTGGATAATGTTATAATGGCAGCTCATTAAATCTTTGTCTAAACCCACAGTGGGCGATACACTGATAGCATTGTAGCCTTTCAATACTTAGTACCTCGTGCCAGCCTTCGAGGGCTGCTATTCCCACGAGTTCACCTGGCCCAGCTGCACCCGAGCGGCAGCGCTGAGCCCGGCTCCCCTGCGTTCCTGCCCCGCTGCTGCTCCTTCCTCCTGGCTGCCCGGCGCCGGGAGGGAGATCCGGCTG